GAAGAAGGCATTGGATCCCATGGTGCTGGAGTTACAGGCAGAGGTGAACTGCCTGGCATAAGTGCTGGGAACCAAACTTGGATCCTCTGCAAGAATACTATTCATTCTTACCCATTAGACTTGCTCTTCAGCCCCTTCCATAAAAGTTTAACAAGAAAGAGTTGTTACACTTGAAGCAACACCTGTTTTTTTCATGAAAACTTTATTGTAAAAGTCCTTCTTCTGAGATCCTCTGCATCTTTGGAGACCCCAGTAGCCTAAAGGGATAAGTCTGATGTCTACAGATTATCCCCTTGCTGTCTTTATAGAATAATGGCTATTGGTAACTCATTGACAATTCTCTAGGAACTGTTTCAGAGGGAAGAAAGCAGCAGACCCATTTTGATTCTGCTGTGCTTCGCATGGTTCTGTTTTTTTCCATTCAGTCACAGATCTTTGCCACTTAGAGCTGAATACAGAGAGTTATCTTTTCCCTTTTGGTATTCTTTTAATACTAACTGTACTTTGGTCGTCCTGCTAAAATAATGAAAAACTGGACTACCTAATCAAATATAAAACAATCATATATTCTTTTATTTAATGGTTTTTATTATTTTATATGTTAACTACTTTCTATAAGCATATTTACCTTTTAAGTATTTTATTAGTATATATTAATTATCCATGATAATGGGTTTTATCATGACTTTCAATACCATACATAATACATTTGGATTACATTAATTCTCTAGTTGCCCTCCTACTCCTGATCATCTTTTTTCTCTTCTTTCTTCTTTCACAACTCTTTTTTCATCACCCTATAATTTAATTAGGGTTACTTACAGGAACATGGATAAAGTATTATTTACAAGAGCATTGGCAATTACCAGTGGTTGGATCACTGAAGAAAATGTCTCTCTCTTCCCTGTTATCTTTTGAAAAAAAAATATGTTCACTTTGCCTAAGCAATCATCATTATTAATTGTCTTACTTATATTCTTAGAGGCCTAGGAATTACATGGAATTTACATATGGCAAAAATCTAATCTCTAATAATCATCTGCCATTACACCGAGTGCAAAGCTCACAGTTACAACAATAAAGTCCCTGGATGAGACATAACCTTTAGTCTTCCTCTTTGTATTTCTAAATAGCCTATTTGGTTTCATTGACTTAAAAACAGATATTTCTAAATTGAATGGGGAACTGGAAAAAATTTAAATCATTGTTCTAAGTCTTTTAAAATAAAGGCCAATTGAAACTAAATTCTCATGCACTCTGTCTTGAATTCTATAACTTTTTTCTTCTTTGACCTTGTTTTGGTCATGGCTAAAATAGCTTAGTTTTGCTGTGGCTTCATCTATAATTGAGCTATATGAATGTTCTAAAAACTGTATTCACAGTTCAGTAAATATTTTTGAACTAGATTAAATATGTAGTTTTGTGTTAAAAATAAATCACCTGAAACGAAATATTTTATTAGCCATCAGGATTCATCAGTGAAAAGAACTGTCTTGCTCAGATAAACATCCTGATAAAATACTTTATCAGTATTAAGAGAAAATATTCCAAATAAGGAGGCAAGATGAAGGTAAGAGAGGAGGGATAAAAAACTATTTTTGCAGAAGAGAGAGGTTTCCAACCCAGCATGACAAGAGGCTTACAGACTCAGGAGGAAGTAATAAAATTTGAGTTAATGACAGCCAAATATTTAATACTATACCAACTGACACCCTGGCTGAAATTTTTTTGTGTTTCTCTCTGTAAGCTCCCAGGAAACATGGGATACTGAGGTTAGAGTATGATGCAATAGTATGAGCCTACCACTGTGGCACCCCAACTTTCACTGAAGATTGTGTATGCAAAGATATCCTTAAGGGGGATTTGAAGAAACATTAATAATGGAAATTGGAAAGACTTTACTGTTTTGTTGATTTAGAGAAGAAAGAAGAGAATGGTCATAGAAAATGAGACATAATAACCAGGGATTTGGGGCTAGGGAGATGGTTTACTGTTTCTATTTTATTTTTCTATTTTTCTTTTATTTTTATTTGTTTTAACTTTTTTTTTTAGTTCTGTGAGAGTTTCATGTTTCTTACAGTATATTTTGATTATATTTCCCCCCCTTTTTAAAAATAAATGTAACTTTTTTTACTAGATGTAATTGTCATTTCCAGGACTTACTGCCTCTGTCTGCTATCCTAGGCTTAGTCCTGGAAGCTTCCAGCCTCTGTACAATCTAATCTAGACCTAGAAGGTTTTCAGCCTCTGAGACTTACTGCTGAATAAGCTCACCCTTTCTAAACTCTGATGACTGGTTCAACTCAACTGTTCTGTCTCAAAACTCCTCTTCAAGCTGACTGATTCAAATTGACTTCTCTTAGATTCTCACTGAATTGCTGTGCTTGGAACTGCTCTGAACACCAGCAACCGAACTGCACAAACTTAACTGAACTCAACTGAACTGTATTATATACTACTGAGCTCTGCTGTACTGTCTCCATGAACTATCTACTGTACTCAACTCTACTCCTTTCTCTACTGTATTGTTTTTTCTACTTACCTTTCTATTGTATCCTACTCTACTGCTCTCTCTCTACTGTACCCTACTCTACTGACTCAACTCTACTGCTCTTAAGCAGGTTCTCTTTCCTGGCTGTTCTCATAAAAGTTAGACATATCCTATTCTGTCAAATATTTCCCTGATTCATCACTTGCCTGTCCTTCATTTAAACATCACTTTAAAAAATGGCTGCTTCCTTCTACAAACTAACCTTACTTACATTGTTTGGAATTGTGTACTGAGGGCACATCTGTATTCCAGCCAGATTATACTGTAATCCACGGCATGTCTGCCCTCCAGACAGATCATTCTAGACCTAGAATGTTTAGGATGTGATCCACTGTCAGAGAAGCCATGTTGCTGGATTAAAATTCCTATACTATTCTTCCCATACCCACCCAACTGTGTGTTCTTTGAAAGAACTCCTTTTAATCAGTTTGTGCTGTCCCAAGTAGTCTTAGATGTGTGGAATTTTACTGGAACATAGTAAATTACCTATGCTCTTAGAGAAAACTTATCCTTCCTATTCCAGAAACAATTGCCAACTGCTCCATGTCTGGTGGTGGGATTGTGTGCTCACCTCACTTCTTTATGCTGGGATTTGGTCTGTTTTGGGCTTACACAGTTTTTTTTTCATACTGTCTCAGCCAGTGTTGAGTTCATATGTGTAGATGTTTCACTGTATCCAAAAGGTGTTTCCTTTTAGCCATTTACTACTTTTGTTACATTTCTTTCTATCTCCTCTTCTATTATGATTCCTGAGCCTTGGGAGGTGTAAAGAATATATGTATTACCTTTAGTGTTTAGCATTACTGCAGTTGCTTATCCTCTGCATCTTGGCCAATTGTGGGTCTCTATGGGACAGCTGCTGCAAACAGAAGCTCCTCCAATGAGGACAGAGATGACTTGAGTATAATGAGATAGGAAGTGTAAGTTTTCTCTAAGAGTCTGTATGGCCTAGTAATTTGATAATGCTTCAGTGAAAGTCCACACATGACCATTTGGGGTAGTATGAAGGATCTTTTCTTTCTTTTTTTTTTTTTTTAAATTGTTGGTTCTTTGTAAATTTCACATGGCACCCCAATACCACCCACCTCCTCTTCTCCTCATACCCTCCTTCCACCCATGCAAACTCTCCCCCAAGAGAGAAAAAAATCTTGTTGTGGAAACTGTAGTGTGTCACAGTGTGTCCCACAGTAAACCCTTTGTCCACACTTCTTTGCTTGCAAATGTTTATTGCAATGACTTGTTAGTTTTATACAAGGCCTCTGGCTTCTGCTACTCTATCAATAATGAATCCTCACTGGGACTCCTCTTGGATATTCTGTTGTTGCCCTGTTGTGTCATGGATATCCTGTAGTTTGGGTCTGTAGGATTGGCCCCTTCATGTACTCCAGCAGTTCATCAATGGAGTAGATGTTGGGTTGGGCCAATTCAAAGCCCTAAGTTTGGGCCTGAGAGGTATCTGAGTTGATCAGTCTGATAGTTGGTCAGTCTGATAGCTCTCCAGCTCTCACAGTTTTGGGGTGGAATCTCCAGCAATTCCCACTACCCTGATGCCCAGGAAAGGTACAGAGCCTGCATTCCCAAGCGTTACAGCTGGTGAGGGGCAGGATCAGCTCTCCCTCTCTGATGAAATTAGGGCCAGTTCTCCTTCCTGCCATAGATAGCAAGGAGTGAGGGAGAGATCTCTCCTTCACCCGTGTGGTAGGGACAGGTCTCCCACTCTTGTATTCTTGGACCCAACTTAGCCGCAACTCCTGCAATGTTTGGGGTCACTCAGGTGAGGATAGGCCAGTTCTGCATAGCCCTCAAACATTAAAATGTCCTGGGCAGCAGCCAGACCAGGGATGTCTGCCTGGCCTTTGGTGGTAATAGACCCCGGCTGCTTCAGGGCCATGGACCCAAATGTATTCTCCAGTGGCATCACTGGCCAGGACCCCACCATGGTCCTTGATAGCATTACTGACTACTCACATTGGGCTCTTCATCACTACTCTTGAGTCTCCAGTTCTGCCTCTCTTCATTGTGCCTACATATTTCTGTTTCTCTTTTCTTCCATTTCTCACCACCTGCTTGCTCTATTAGAGGCACCCAGGTATCTAAGTATCTGGGGCCATCTCAGGAGTGGTCTTAGGAGTGCTATGCCACACTCATGCATTATAGAGTTGGGCAGCGTTCATCTCGGGCTTGGTCTGCTCTTCAAGGCATGCATCTTGGGTTGACTTCTTGTCCAGCTTGCCAGAGTGGTCTCATGTGAAGGTGGTCTGTCTTGAGCTCACTCCTGCCAGGGAACCTCAGTCCCAGGCAGGGTTGTTTTAGTCTCTGGCTTTCTCTGGGTCCTGGAAAGCCACTGGAGCCTACACAGTACCAGACCAGTGGTTGTTTCAGGCTAGCTCCATGTGTGAGCTCTCTGGTTCTGTACTAGTGGTTGTTTCAGGCTAGCTTCTTTTTAGGGAATGTGAGGCTACTAATCACGCAGATGTCCATAGGTCAGAACACTGAGTGTAGACACAGTCTCTGTCCTCTCTGCCACCTCCTGATGCAATGTGACCCAGCAGCTACACCTGCAATGCTTCTAGAAGTAGGCTGAAGGACTTCTTTTTTTTTAAGACAAAAAGTAGGTTGGATATGGGAAAAATTAAAGGGTGAATGTGATCAAAATATATTGTAAGAAACATGAAGCTCTCAAAGAACTAAATAAAAATTAAAAGTTAAAATAAAAAAGCACTGAGCCGTCTCCCTAACCCCAAATGTTATTTAATGTCTCATGAGTATAATGTTAGGCTTTTAAGAGCCAGTTTAGTTTATGTCCATTTGGCAGTGTCATAGTAGTATGTTCTCCCCTAAGGTCTTCAGTAGTTTAAATGAGAATGGTGCTTATAAGCACAGATATTTGAATTCTTGGTTCGCAGTTGGTAGAATTGTTTGGAAAAGATTAGGAGTATGGTCTTGTTGAAGGATGTGTGTCATTGGAGATGGGCTTTGAGATTTCAAAAGCTCATACTACTTCAAGTTAACTATCTCTGCCCCATAGTAGTGTCTCAAGCTGTGAGCCGTCCAATATTGGTCCAGAATCATGCCTGCCTACCTGCTGCCATGCTTCCTGTGGTGAAGATGATGGATTTTAACTTTCTGAAAATCCAATTAAACACTTTCTTTTATAAATTTATTTGGTCATGGTATATTATCACAGCAATAGAAAAGTAACTAAGTCAGGGCCTGTAACTTATCTAGCTAATCAGGTTTTTGGCCTGATAATGATGCTAAGTATGGGTTTCATCTTGTGGAGCAGGACTCAAATCCAACCAGAAAGTAGTTGGTTGCTCCCGTAATGTCCATGCCACTATTACACCAGTGGCTATGTCTTCAGATAGCTCAGTGTTTAAACTGTTTGCTATACAAGCAAGAGGACAGAGTTCCAATCCTATGTACCCACTTAAATGCTAAATGGGTGTAATAGCCTATTTGTAATTCCAGCCTCAGAAAGTGGAGACAGATGTGATGAGCAAGTTGGCCAAAGCTGTACTAGTTTTGGGTTTGACTGAGAAACTCTGCCTCGAGGAATAATGTGGAATAGCTACTGAGACAAATTAATGATCTAATGCTCAGGCTTCAGTGTGCATACACAAACACCTGCACACACATGGGCCCACAGATTAGCAAAAAGTGTAAATTTAGCTACAAACTTACAAACTTCTCTTACAAACACATGGAAATAAGAAAAAAGAAAAACAGGATTTGGAATTATACTATCTACGAATATTTGCAGAAATCATAGGACTTCTTAGAGTACTTGAGGTAGGAAAGAGTCATTCCAGTCTTTTTACATCCTCAAATCTGTGTCAACTCCATGACATTTGTTCTATAAAGGTATGGCTGACATTATCAAACAACAGCTTTTACATACAATAGTAGAAAGACAGGTTTTCTGACAAGTGGACACAAATTCGGTAAAATATAGAAAACTACTGAATCACATAGTCTATGATGCTGCTTATGTTTAAATGAATCACTTCATGATACTATTTAAAGAAAGCAACCATCTCAAGGTCAAACATTGTCTAACAGCCTTACGTAGACCAAATACTGTGATGGCTAATCTTGATTGTCAATTTGGCCACATCTAGAATCAATTAAAACACAAGTTTCTGGACATGCTTTTAAGCAATTTTCTTGGTGGGGTCTTTGAGGTGAGAAAACCCACTCTAAAACCCACTCTAAATCTGGTCTACATCTTCTAGTGGGAGCCCGCATAAACAGACATGGAAGAAGGAAGTTTTTACCTTTTGCCTGATTTTTCTCTCTCACTGGCAAATTCATCTAGCTTGTTGCTGAAGCATTCTTTCCTTGGTATTAGAACCTATTTCTTTAGAATTCTAACATAGACTGAATACCAGTAGCTCTCTTGGACTCTCTAAGACTCCATTTTGGGACTATTGTGGCATCCAGCCTCATGGACTGAACAAGACTGGATTTCGGGCCTTTCTGTTGTAAGATAGCTATTGATGAGTTACACAGACAGCAGCTTGTGTAAGTCAGTTTAATAAAATCTCCTTTTATTCTGTTTCTTTAGAGAACACCGATTACTTCAGGTATAAAGCTCTGTGTTGGACTAGTTTTTTTTTTTCTTTCTACATATTGACATATCAGGACGAACAGAATGGAATCTGGTGCCACACAATTAAACTTAAGTTTAAAATTAGTCTGTTTCCTGAAAAACAGTATATACATATCAATCAAACAAGGAATTTATGTTCTTTTATTCTTGTAAGAAATGTACCTTTGTAATTACAGATTTATTTTTGGTTTCCTGCGTCTGCTTTTTCTAGTCCTTTCTGTTTGAAGCTCACCACTTCTGCTCTGGTCAGTGAGAGCTTCTCCATTTTTACAGTGAATTAATGCCTGACTTACGAGTTGCTAATACCGGGCTTTTCATTTATACAGTGTGCTTATAAGCAGGTATGCTGTTACTCTAATTTGACAGAAAGGAAGCCGAGGCATAGAGGCATGAATAAATGGGCAATGTTTAGAGCTATTAAAAAGGAGGCAAAGATTTGAACCCAGGAAACCTGGTGAGAGAGAATATGGTCTTAGTGTTACCTGTCCTGAACTACTGTGCTATTTCGTGTAGTCAGAAATCTGAGGCACAAAATAACCAAGGCTGACTTAAGGTTTAGAGTAAAAAGAACAGGACAGCAAGAGAAAGGGGCCCTTTAGACAAACAGTGGCACTACCGCCCCTTGGCACGTTTTCTTAATGCTTTGTTTTTTCAACTTTAGGTGAAAACTATGTCTGATTCTATGCCTGCACGGAGAAGTTTTAAAAATAAATGGGTACATGACCAACACTTAATCTAGATAAAACTCTAGAAATTTTAAGATCATGTATAAAAGCTAAAGATAAATTGAACCATGAGTTAATGATCTAGTGAAACTGAATAATGTCTAAATAATTATTTGAATTGAAAAAAATAGAGACTATGAGTAATTCAGACATTGAGGGCATTACCTAAACCTTGCCTGATGATACAGAAAGAAACCAAATTCATTTCTTTCTACTGTATGCTCAAACCACTTCCACCATTTCAGAAAGTGTGGGGCTTTCTCCCTACCACCATCATGTAGTCATTTAGCAGTGAACATCAATTTGAGGTCTCTAGTTCAACTTAGCCCAATTCTGGAATTATCTATCTGGAGTTAGTGTCAGATTCTATAGGAAGGAGGTCAGTCCACAAGACTGTGGACATTAGCTGTCAGTCACAAGTCCAGGCTTCTATAACTTTGGACCAACCCAGTAAAATCAAGGTTCCCATGATAAGCGCTTCTTTAAACTCAATTAACTATTGATGTATCTATGTATCTATCTATCTAGTGTATGTATCTATCTACATATCTGTCTCTCTATATATCTATATATGTATGTATGTATATATGTATGTATGTATGTATGTATCTATCTATCTATCTATCTATCTATCTATCTATCTATCTATCTATCTATCTATCTATGTATCTGTCTACCTATCTATCTGGAATGGTTTACAAAATTCAAAGGAACAATGACAGAATTACTGGCTTATTTTATATGCTACAAATAAGCAGCAGGATAAAGAGATATATACAGCTAAGTCTCATGAGTGCAGGAACTTCTTTTTCTGTCCTGGTATAATTGGGATATTCCGCCCTCTCAAAAATAAGGGTAAGTTTTTACTTACCTAGTTGCAGGTCTTAACATGTTATTATACTAGAAACCCCAAATTCTGTCCATTTAGGGTCTTGTGCAGGCTTTTTTGCATTATCATGATTGAAGCATGGATTACCATGTAGAATAATGATTAGACAAATTTTATGACTGAATGGAACTAAACACAGCAATGGCTTTCTGTTTAGCTTCCTCATGGCTGTGTTGCCTTCATGATCTTACTATCTTATGATCTATTACCATATAAATTTTTGGCCAGATTCTAGACAGAGAAGTGTGCTTTACATTTTGGATTTGATTTTACTGTATCCTTTAAAGGTGCACAAGGTAGAAGCTTATCATGCATATGACGGTGTGAGAGTTTTACGAGGTGGAGCCTAGTGTGAGGTAATTGGCTCATGGGTGGCATTCTACTCGTGGAAGGCATTAACTTAAGAACAGGTTGGTCCTGCAAGAATGGCTTCTTTTAAGCTGAGGTTACCTCATGCTCTTGGCACCTTCTGCATATGGTCAGTTCTCTTAATTTCTTCATGTTGTGATAAAGTCATTATGGCCTTCATAAGAGGCCAAGTCAACATGGCTGTGGCATCTCAGACACTTAGCCCCTGATATTGTGAACTAAGGATACCTCTTATATACTTAGGTGTAGACCTCAGGTATTCTGTTACAGACATAGAAAACTAATACAACGAGGAGAAGCGTGATTATAGTTTTAGTTCACATGTCTCTTCTCAGGAAAGAGCAATAATAACTTCTATGCCACCCCTTGTATATAAAAAGTGATAACTTTCTTTTACATTTATTGTTCTGCATTTGTTCCAATTCAAGTTCTAACCTAATGTTCTTGTTGTTAAATTCTCCTTTTTGGAGGTGGGAAATATTCTCATTTAGTAGGAAAACCCAAGGAAACATTTTTGCCAACATTGGGCATGATGGCTCATATAATCTGAGTACTAAGGTGGGAGAAAGCTAGGATGATTCACACACACATGTATAATATGTGTGTGTTCACATGTGCATGTGGGTGCATGCGCACACACATACAAACATGTATACATACATACACCATACACACAAATTTTGTCCTTTCAATTTATTATTATTATTTTAATTTTAATTTTATTTTTATTAATTACAGTTTATTCACTTTGTATCCCAGCTGTAGTCCCATCCCCATCCCTTCCCAATTCCACTCTCCCTCCCTCTTCTCCTATGCCCCTCCCCCAGTCCAATGACAGGGGAGGTCATCCTCCCCTTCCATCTGACCATAGTCTATCAGGTCTCATCAGGAGTGGCTGCATTGTCTTCCTCTGTGGACTGGAAAGATGCTCCCCCCTCAGGTGGAGGTGATCAAAGAGCCAGCCCATGAGTTCATGTCCGAGATA